GGCAGTATATGAAAGCGTTGGGATGAGACTTTAGTCGATAAGAGATTTTCTACCGGTATTCGGTGGTTCTGTGCAGCTGCTGTGATTAGAAGTTATCGCTACAAGTGTTTGAGTTATGTGGTATATCATGTAATTGCACCTGAGGTTGCAGGTATGGGTTATTACGGCTTGTTCGGGCTTATTTAGAGTATATATGTGGGATTCTGATCTTGTGGATGATTTCTGAAGTAGAGATGTGGTTCTAAGGTATGTAGGCTAGATTGGATTGTGAAATTTCAGTTACAATGTGTTATCAGACCTATATGAGATAGGGTGACGTGGGATCACCCCCGGGTAGGTGCATGGTAATGTTATTCAGCAATTAGTTGGCTTCTGGAACAACTCTGGGCACGTTCGAGGATGAACGTATGTTTAAGTGGGGGAGGATGTAACGACCTGACCGGGTCGTTTAGAGCTTTTGCACTTTGCTCGCTAGTTCTCGGGCATGACTTGCTCCGTGTGATGCATTCTAACTTACGTAAACCGTTGGTTTTGATTTTCAGGGTAATCGGAATGAAATTGGAAGAACAGTTCTTAATTCAAAGCTTGAAATTTGAAAGGTTTGACCAAGATTTGACTTGTTTGTATATGATTTCGGATCGGAATTTTTATGATTTGGTTAGCTCCGTTAGGTGATTTGAGACTTGGGAGCGTGATCGGAATGCATTTTGGGAGTCCGTGGAAGGTTTAGGCTTGAATTGGCGAAATTGAGATTTCGGCGTTTTCCGGTTGTTAGGTGAGATTTTGATAAGAGGGTCGGAATGGAATTCGGAGAGTGGCAGTAGCTTCGTTGTGTCATTTGGGATGGGTGTGCAAAATTTTAGGTTATTCGGACGTGTTTTGGTTGGGTTTTTGATTAAAAGCGGAATTCAGAAGAATTTAGAAACTAAGGCTTGAACCCGAAGTATTTTGGTTAATTTAGTGTTGTTTGAAGTGTTTTGATGATTGGAACAAGTTTGAATAAGGTATTGGGGGCCTCGGGGTGATTTCGGGTGGTCAATGTAGAGGTTGGAATTTTGTTGCAGCAGCTTATATTGCTGCTTCAGGTGCAGATGCGCTGCCGCAGATGCAGGTGGTTTATCGCAGAAGCGAAAAGGGGTCAGATGAGCAGTTTCCGCAGAAGCGGGCAAGATGGCCGCATCTGCGAAGCCGCAGATGCGGAAGTTCTATCGCAGATGCGATTTTGGGGCCTTAAGTGAAAAAACCGCAGAAGGGGTGGTTTGGCCGCAAATGTGGTACCGCAGAAGCGGATTTTTGACCGCAGATGCGGTAAGGCCTGGGCAGACCATATATTTTATTTCATTTCGCGATTTTGGGTTATTTCACCATTGTTGCCTTCGACCTTGGAGCTTTTTGGGCGATTCTTAAGAGAGAAATCAAGAGACTTCGTCAAGGTATGGAATTTTGGACCTAAAACTCAATTCAATGTTCGCATTTCATGAATTTAGGGTTGTAATTAAAGGAATTAAAGGGAAAAAATGGAGGATTAGGGCTTGAGTTTAAGAGGCCTTTAAATGGGGATTTGAGGGGCCATTTGGACTTCGATTTTAGTATTTTTGATATGTATGAACTCGTGGGGAGACGAGGAATCTATTGATGTGAAAATTTCTGAGTTTCGAGAAGTGGGCCCGGGGCTCGAGTTTTGGTAATTTTGGGATTTGTGCCCTTTATTGATTATTTTCGCTTGGGCTTTGTTCCCTTGGCATTTGACGTCCTCGTTCTGAGTTTGGATAGATTCGACGCGTGTGCAGGCCATTTCGATGGGCAAAGGCGTCGCGAGCTAGAGATTTCGCCGGTTCGAGGTGAGTAATGATTGTAAATGATGTTCTGAGGGTTTGAAACCCCCGGATTGCACATCGTAGTGCTTCTTTATTAAGGTGAGACACACGCTGATGACGAGCGTGGGGTCGTGCACTATTGGGGATTGTGACTGGGTCCGTCCCGTACGGCTGTTAAGTCGCGTATTTGACTTGAAATCTTATGATATTCCATATATTAGAGATTTATATTATAATTTGGGATGTATACCATATTTGGGGCCTTGTGCCAACCTGTTGAGACCCTTAGGGGCATTTTTACTATTTTTTCTCACTCTATTTGTTTGAAAGCATCACCTCAGTCATGTTCTACCTGTTTATTGTTAAAACTGGTTTTATCACTTTACTTCTTAGAAATATGAAAAGCGGTTTGGGCTGAGTTCCCTGATTTACTGATAGACCGAGGGTCTGATTGTGAGGTTAATGACTGAGATAGATAGTGAGGTCAATGACTGAGAGAGGCCGAGGGCCTGGATGTGAGGGTTTCATATTTATGGATCGGGCTGCACGCCGCAGCGATATGTTGGGTCGGGCTGCACGCCCCAGCGATATAGCGCTTGGGCTGTAGGAGCCCCTCCGGAGTCTGCACACCCCTAGTGAGCGCAGTCGACTATATATATGGACCGGGCTGCACGCCGCAGCGATATATGGATCGGGCTGCAGGCCGCAGCGGTTACTATTTGGTACCTATTGAGTGTGAGCGCTGATTGGTAAGAGTTGAGTCACGAGTGACTAAGAGGCTTGCCCGAGGGACTATATATAGACATATACATGCACAAGAGTGATGTTTGCCTGAGGGGCTAGTTATGAATTTGCTGTTTTCACTCCTCTTTTAAGTGAGTTTCCATTGAACATGGTGATTTAATTACTGCTTTCACTCATCTTTAGACCGAGCCTCTATTAAAAATGTTGAACAAATGTTTTAAATAATCTCTCATTTAAACTAAGTTTTTAAGCTACGAGAAGGACTGTGTATTTGTGCCCGAGGGGCGGATTTTTGGTGCATATCTGCACAAGTTGTTCTGCCTTCATTTGCACAACTGTTGAAAAAGTCATTTTCAAAAGAGTTTAAACTGAGCTAAGATGTTTTAAAGGATTTTACAGCTTCATTGCTTTCTTACTGGTTTTGAAACTGCTTCTATACAGCATGTTGATGCTCTTTTCGTGATTTCTTACCACTCAGTCTTTATTTATGATCATTACTCATTGAGTTGGCAGTACTCATTTTACTCCCTGCACCTTGTGTGCAGATTCAGGTAATTTCTGAGCTTGATGGCAGTTGTCAGTGGAGTTAGCAAGGTAGCTGCCGGCGTTCGCAGCACCGCTTTCTCTCTCCTCATTCTATTAGACTGTACTGAGTACATTTCAGACTTTGTCAGTTGTATTTAGACTTACTAGATGCTCATGACTAGTGACACCCCGGTTTGGGCTGTGTTTGGGTTGTACTTCCACCTTGTTATGATATTATCCGCTGTTTAGCATTATTAAATCATGTTTTAGCCTATTGTATTGCTGTTTAGCTGTTTAACTTCGAATTGGAAATGTGTCGGCTGGCCTTGTCTTCACGAGAGGTGCCATCACGACCGGGTATGGGTTTAGGATCGTGACACACCCGAAGTTACAAACTTCATCTCAAAACATATATTCCTTTTTCGACAATGCAAATGATGCCTTCTTCTAGAAAGAAATGGAGGATGAATCTTCACAACTAAATCTGCATATATGTTATTCCTACAACTTTCAGGGACAAACCCAATATTACGAAGCTTTGACCACAGCTGGATCTGGAAAGTACAATATCACAATAAACTAAAAATATTCTTATGGCTTCTAGTACACCAACGGCTTCCAACAGCTACACTACTCTACCAAAAGCACATAATACCCTCAAATTATTGTCCCCACTTCGGTATTGAGGAAGACATACACACCATATTCTTCTCCTGCCCAACAAATATCTCTATTTAGGGAGCTTTAAATATTAGCACACTGACATCTACATCGTTAGACTTGATAAAAAAGATGTGCACAATGAAAAGCAATACTAACTTACCCAATAACACACAAATCTCCCTAGCAATTGTCACCCTTATAATCCTTTGGCATATTTGGCTTAACCGAAATCACAATATTTTTAACAATTGTTCTACAACAATAAACAGTGAGCACACCTTATGCACAGGAATACCTTTACCTAACTAACCCAAAAATCCAAAAATAATTCTCACTAAAATTCCAATCAGGTGGGAACCACCACCTCACAATATCTATAAACTAAATATAAATGGTGCACATGAAAAAAACTCCAACACTGTAGGAGCAGAAGGAATCATCAGAGATTCCCACGTTAACTATTGGCGTTACATGAGGCAGTGCAGCAGATCTGTTTTTATCTTTGGATTATTTATGTGTATTGGGCCTAGCCCACAGGAGATTAGGACCGGGTCTAGCCCATAGTTAATATAGCTATGTTTTTCCAATTTTGCCCATTGTGTAAAGACAATATCTCGAACCTTCTTTGTAGTTTTGGACGATAGAAAGAAAATATCAGATTATCTCAATGCTCTCTTTTTCTCTCAAGCCCTAGCATAATCTTCTTCAATTTCCGCTGCAAATCTAAGCTTTTCATGGTATTAGAGAAAGGAATTTTGTAGATCTTGCATCTCCGAATCCACCGATGGTACCCTCGCCCAGTTTTGTTCGAGGATTCCGCCGATGTTTTGTCTTCGCACCAGTTTTCACTTTTCGACAGGATTTTTCTTTGATTTCACGGTGTAATCTCTCTATTTGTATGGGAGTCCAGTCAGATCGAGTGATTTTTGTATGAAATTTTCCGGTTTTGAAGAGAAGCTTCGAAATTAGGGTTTCTGGCTCGTCGGCGTTCCTCCTACTGTTCCGAGGTGTAATTTCGATGCTGTGGTATATTCGTTCTCAAGGCCGTTCTTATCCGGTTGCGAAGAAGGATGGTATAGCTGTTTTATTTTCATATTCTTTGTTGATGTCGATCCAGTCTACAAGCTGAGTTCCTCTTATGATATTACTTGTTCTTGTTCTCTTGATAATATTTTGCTTGCATAGCAACTGATGAACATATTAATTTGGCGATAATCCTTCTAGTGTGTTATATTTGTATTTTTTTCAATCATGACAAATAGTGATAGTAGCAGTGTTAGTGATTCTGAGTATACTCCTCGTGCCTTTAGTCCTTTATTTCTTCATTCCTCTGATATACCGGGAATGTCTCTGGTCGTTGTTCCCTTTTCTTGTTCTGGTTTTGGTGGGTGGAGGAGAAGCATTATCGTGTCCTTGTCAGCCAGAAATAAAATTGCTTTCATTGATGGTACCTATCCCAAACCTTCTGTGGGTTCCCCTGAATGCAAACAGTGGGACAGGTGTAACAACATGGTGATATCCTGGTTAACCAGCTCCCTCACACCTGAAATTGCTGAGAGTGTTCAGTATTCTGATACTGCTGAGAGTATTTGGAAGCAATTGAATAGTAGATATGGGACCAAAAAATTTAAAATAAAGAAGGAATTAACTTCTGCATGTCAAGGTCCTCTTGATATAGCATCATATTTCAACAAGCTAAAGAAACTTTGGGATGAGTTGGGAATTATGGGTTCAAATCATGCAAACACATGTACATGTGCTGCAAAAGATCGTTTACTAAAGGAAGATGAAGAAAACAAAGTTCACCAATTCTTAATGGGTCTGAATGAAACTTACATTACTGTCAGAAGAAATATCCTAATGATGAACCTACCTCCTTCACTTGACAATGTATATAACATTCTCTTGCAAGATGAAAAGTAGAGACAAGTGATTCCAAATGCCCATTTTACACCTGACATAGCCTCTTTTAATGCAAATACAACTAATAAGTTTCCTCCTCAATATCAGCCCCAAAGGCAATATATTCAGAAGGTTAATTTTGATTCAACAACTCAGAGAGTGGTTTCTGATCAGAACAGAGCTTTATTATGCAAGTATTGTAAGAAGAATGGACATACTATTGATAAATGCTATAAATTGAATGGTTTTCCCCAAAATTTCAAGTTTACCAAGGGCAGAAAATTTGGAACTACTGCAAATGCTGAGTCCTCAACTTCTGGGAACTCTGAGTCTGCCCCAACATTTGTCTCCACTGGTCAAGATGTTGTTATGCATGGTCTTACTAAAGAACAATATTCTCAACTCATGACTTTGCTGCAATAGGCAAATCTTGTTGATTCCAGTCCTCAACCTAACTTTGTGGGATCTGCTAACTTTGCTGGTAGTATTCCTACTCTGCCTGGGTTTAATGGTGTTGTTTATTCTTCTTGCATGTTAACTGGTGCAGCTAGAAGTATTTGGATAGTGGATTCCGGAGCAACTGACCACATGACTTCTGATAAAGACCTCCTCTTTGATATTTCACCACTTTCTGTCCCTTATCTTATCACTTTACCCAATGGATACAAAGTGAAGGTCACATGTACAGGATCTCTCACTTTGAATTCTTCTTTTGTCTTACATCATCTGCTTTGCATTCCTACTTTCAAGTACAATCTCATTTCTGTACATAGACTAATTCAACAATTTCATAGTATAGTTATCTTTACTTCTTGTTCCTATTTGGTACAGGACCTTTCCAGGAAGAAGCTTCTGGTTCTTGGTAGACTACACCAGGGTCTATAAAAGCTTCATCAACTTCCCACCTTATCTCCTCCATCTTCTTCTGTTTCAACTTTAAACACTATTATGCACAATATGCCTGATGTACCTAGTTCTACTTTGAATAATGTTCTGCAGTCTATGCATGATAGTCCTGTTTCCTCTTTGAATAAGCCTATATGCAACTTGAATGAGAGTGTATCTTCTTCTTTTGCCTCTTCTATTTCTTCTCAGCAACATATAAATGACCTTGATGTACTTTGGCATCATAGAATGGGCCACATTCCTTTTGTGAAAATGAAATGTATACCTTCTGTTGCTTGTGAATTGTCTGCTAAGCAGTCTTTTACTTGTCCCATTTGTCCTCTAGCTAGACAAACTAGATTGCCTTTTCCTGATAGCGCATCTACTTCTACTTCTTTGTTTCAGCTTGTTCACATTGATACATGGGCGCCTTATCATACCCAAACTTATTCTGGTGCTAGATATTTTTTAACAATTGTGGATGATTTTAATATAGCTACTTGGACACACTTAATGAGTTCCAAAAGCAATGCATTTACTTTGCTTAAAGCATTCATTGCCATGGTTAAAACACAATTTAACCTTTATGTACAGATAATTAGAAGTGATAATGCCCTGGAGCTTGGTTCCTCATCCTTAGCTTGCCAATTTTTTTCTAACAATGGAGTTCTACACCAAACTACGTGTCCATACAAACCTCAGCAAAATGGTATTGTTGAAAGAAAACACAGACACCTACTAGAAACATCTAGAGCTTTATTATTTCAATCCAAACTTCCAACAAAATTTTGGGGGGATTATGTCCTCACAGCTACTTACCTGATAAATAGATTTCCCTCACATGTTATCTCTAACAAGACCCCATTTAAAATTCTATATGGCAAAACTCCTTCTTATAGTCATCTGAAGTCTTTTGGTTGCTTGTGTTATGCAACAGTACCCAAATGCCACATAGATAAGTTTCAACCTAGGGTTGTCCCATGTGTTTTTATTGGTTATCCTTTTGGCAAAAAAGGGTACAAACTCTATAATCTTCAAACCAAGTCTGTTTTTGTCTCCAGGGATGTCGTCTTCCATGAGTCTGTCTTTCCCTTTCAACTCAATTCTTCTGTCTCTTCTCCTTCCTCTCTTCCTTCCTTTCCACCTACTTATTTTGATGAACCTTCAATCAATCTTCCTTCTTCCCTATCTGAAACTTCTTCCTCCTCCTCCTCTCCTTCTTCTCCTCCCCTTGCTTCTGATTCTTCCCCTCCTATTTCTGGTCCATCTAATGTTTCAACTCTACCTGCAGTCAAGAAATCTACCAGATCTCATAATATTCCTTCTCATCTTCAAGAGTATGTGGTTAACCTTCCTCCTTTTGTTTCTTGATCCTCTACTATCTCTACTTCTGGTGCCCCTCCTGCAGCAGTTGAGCCTCACTCTTATGCTCAGGCTGCTGCCAGTCCATCTTGGCAGGATGCTATGAGGAAGGAGTTTGAAGCACTGGAAGCTAATAATACTTGGGACATTGTTGAACTTTCCAAAGGGAAGAAACCAATTGATTGTAAATGGGTATATAAAATTAAATGTAGAGCTGATGGGAGTGTGGAGAGATATAAAGCAAGGTTTGTCATAAGGGGTGATACTCAGGTAGAGGGTATTGACTTTCATGAGATGTTTTCTCCTGTGGTTAAAATGTGTTCTATACGATGCCTTATAGCTTATGCAGTCAAACAAAAGTGGTCCCTATTTCAATTAGATTTTAATAATGCATTTTTACATGGTTACTTAGATGAAGAAGTGTATATGAAGATTCCTCAAGGATTGTCTGTTACCTCTACTTCTTCTGCTTCTGTCCCTCATTTGGTACACAAATTGCATAAATCTTTGTATGGTATGCGGCAGGCTTCTAGACAATGGTATGCGAAATTGTCACAAACCCTTTGTTCTAGAGGCTATAACCATCCTTTGAATGATTATTCCTTGTTTGTCAGGAAATCAGCCCAATCCATTGTGTTTCTTGCTGTGTATGTCGATGACATCTTACTAACTAGGGATGATTTGGTTGAGATTGCTGCATTGAAAAGTTTTCTGGATGATCAGTTTAAATTAAAGATTTAGGCCTTCTTCATTATTTCTTGGGTATTGAGCTTCATTATCATTCTTCAGGAGTTTTATTGCATCAAAGAGGTTTATCTCTAATTTACTAGCTGCTTTCAATTGTACTGAAGTGTCTTCTGTTATTTGTCTGTTGGATTTAACTATACTCTGATGTTGGTGATCTTTTACCTAGACCTAATACATATAGAAGCCTCATTGGCAAGCTCAATTTTCTTACCCACACTCACCCTGATCTTTGCTTTGCTGTTCAACACCTTAGCCAATTTCTTCAGTCCCCTAGGGTCCCTCACATGACTGCAGCCTTGCATGTACTAAGGTACTTAAAGGGCTCTTCAAATGTTGGGATTTTTCTAAATAATTGTGCTGATTTCTCTTTGGTTGGCTATTGTGATAGCGATTGGGTTTCTTGCCCCGATTCCCATCGATCGGTTAGTGGTTTTTGTGTGTTTTTGGGTGGCAGTCTTAGTAGCTGGAAATCCAAAAAACAACATGTGGTTTCCTTATCCTCTGCTGAAGCAGAATATCGGGCTATGAGCAAGGTGGTTGCTGAATTATCCTGGTTGGTTCGTTCATTGTCTGATTTGGGTTTACATGTGTCTACTCATCTTCCCGTTTTCTGCGATAATCAGGCTGCTATTCATATAGCAAAAAATCTTGTTTTTCACGAGAGGACAAAGCATATAAAGGTTGATTGCCATTTTATACGAACCAAATTGGCTGATGGTTTAATTTCTTTAAGTCATGTTCCTACTGATTCCCAGTTAGCTGACATTTTTACTAAGTGCTTAACAGGTGGGACTCATCATTCTTTGGCTGGCAAGTTGGATGTGTGCCCACCCTCCAACTTACGTGGGGGGGGGGGGGGGAGGGGGAGGGGGTATTGGCGTTACATGAGGCAGTGCCGCAGATCTGTTTTTATCTTTGGATTATTTATGTGTATTGGGCCTAGCCCACTGGAGATTAGGATCGGGTCTATCCCATAGTTAATATAACTATATTTTTCCAATTTTGCCCATTATATAAAGACAATATCTGGAACCTTCTTTGTAGTTTTGGACGATAGAAAGAAAATATCAGATTATCTCAATTCTCTCTTTTTCTCTCAAGCCCTAGCATAATCTTCTTCAATTTTCGCTGCAAATCTAAGCTTTTCACTGGATTTATGGATTCTCTAGCAATATAGTTGCCTCAACGCCGCTACAGGGTGAACTTATTGCACTTCTCAAGGGTTTGGAACTCGCTTTCACAAAAAATCGAATACCACTAATAGTGGAGACGGACTACCAGGTATTAATTCATTATTCCAACAAACATGTGATACCAAAGCTTATATTAATCTTCTACATGACTGCAGGCTCCTCATTGAAGCAATGGACCAACCGCCTGTTAGGCACATCTACCGCATAGGGAACTAAGTTGTGCATACCTTAGCACAATATGGGAGTACCTGGGACTCATATATACATATGTTGAGCATGAGGGCTCATTTTGTAGTGAACCATACCTTTATTTGCTTTCTTAATTTTTCGCAAAGACTATTTAGGAATTGCATCGTTCAGAACAGTCACATGTGTACTAATACTCCTTAATTTCCTGCATAAATAATAAATTCTCTGTTTAGCAAAAAAAAAAAGAATGTTATTTTCCTTTTTTCTGTTTATTTCTCGTATTATAGTGTAGTTAGGACTCAAAAAAGTAAAGCCAAGATTTTAACTTTATAATCTTGGATATTAAAATGACGAATTTAAGTGTTGATAACTAAATTTTAAATTTGATAAAAAAAATATTTTTTAAGCAAAAAGCAACTGAACTCCGCACCTGAGGACTGAGCAGTCGGCACAACGTCACAACATCAATAGAAGTCATGTCTTAGAGAATCTCAAAATTGTCTTTTTTACTTTCCATATGGTCAAGTATTTGTCCATATATTACTACATCGCTCCCTACCCATCGTTTTTACTGATAAAATAAATAAGAGAAAGCTATTCCTATTTATTGCTAAACAGTAAACACACAGATTAACCTCACAGAAGACATGATTTAGTTTCTTTTTGTGTGTGTTATCACACACAAACCTTAAAATTACATTTGTATGTTGGACATAACCTATACACACAAACATAGACAGTGGAAAGACTTTTTTCTATATTGCCAGGCATTTTAACTTGTTATATCAAGTTAATTATTTACTTTATTTTTCAAATTATTAAATTAGAATCTTGATTCAAATAGTTAAATATTATTGTAGATAACTTAACCTAATAAAAAGAAGGCTTCTAAGAAACATTTTCTTATATACAAATCCAGTACCATTATTTTTAAGACTTTCTCTCTCTAGGATGCGATTCTCTCTCAGCGACAGCTGACACTAGAAAATCGAAGACGGGAGGAGGAGGTAAGAAGATCCAAAGTAATCAGACACTGAATTCTATGAGAACAGGAATACCACAATCGGGAGATGCGAAGAAAACAAAGAACGTTAATGCGATCCAAGTGATTGTACCTTTGGATATTAAGCAGCTTTCCAATTCAGAAACACCGAAAGGGGGAAACAAAGGAAATGAAGGAATTGCAATGGCGAACAGGAAATCCTGGGCAGATAGTGTGGAAGAGAAAGCAGCAGTGAACAAAATTACAGGTTCGACTAAAACCCTAGATTCAAGTACTAAGTCATGGAGTAGTATAGTGGGTTCAATTCCAATAGAGGAAGGACTTTATCTCATTGAAGGGAGTACAAAGCTGAATGAAAATTACAATGGCAGACATCAAGCATGAGGTAGACTACTGGACAACAACTATTGTGTGTTACGTTCTAGGGTCGAATCCACCACAGGTAGTAATAGATGGTTACTTTAGGAGGATTTGGGGTGCTATAGGGATTGACACAATTGAACAGAGGAGTATTCCTGGTGCGATTTCATAGTACAGAAAGCAGAAGTAAAGTAGTAGAAGAAGGAGTTCAAATATTTTGATAGGAAGCCAGTTATTGTGAAACCATGGAAGCCAGATATGGAGATAACAAAGGAACAAATGGAAAAAATTCCTATTTGGATGAGATTGACGGGTTTAGATATCAAGTACTTAGGGAAAGTGACTCTAACAAAGATAGCTGGGTTAATTGGGAAACCTCTTAAAGCAGATGTTGCTACTACTAAAAAAGAAAGGCTAACATATGCAAGAGCATTGGTAGAGGTGAAACTGAATCAACATTATCCAAAAGGTATAAAATTTGAAAATGAGGTGGGCAAAATAGTAGAGCAGGCAGTACACTATGAGTGAAAACCTGTGCTTTGTGAGAAGTGCAAGAATTATGGCCATAAAATCTTGGAATGTAGAAAGTATATACAGGAAGAAAAAGAGAAGAATGAAAAACAACAAGAGATAAGTGCACAAATGGTGGTAGAGCAGCAGGAAGGAAGAAAGGAAGCACAAAAGAAGGCAATAGAACAACAGGGAACAAAAATGCAGCAAAAGGAAAAAAGGGTGGAGAATAAAAAGGTGGAGAAGGGTAGAAATCAAACATACAATTATGGGTATAGAGAAGGGAAATATGTGAGGACAGCTGTAATGGTGCAAGAAATACCTTTGAAGATAGATAATACTTTTGCTACATTAGGGAAACAACTAAATGAAGAGGGGGAAAGTACTACTCAGGCAGGGCAGCAGATAGTGGCAATGGGGATTGAAAATGTAGGAAAAAGGGGAGTTGAATATGAAAAAGGTGGGGGGAACCCACCCAAACATGAATAAGATTGGATTTTGGAACACCAGAGGATTAAATAATTCAGATAAACAGAAGGAAGTGAATCTGTTTATGCATAATTCTCAAGCTGGATTATTTGGTCTTCTGGAGACTAAGGTTAAGAGAGAAAAAGCTCAGAGAGCAGCTCTTAACTTATGCAATGGTTGGTCATATAGTACAAATCTTAGTCAACATAAATGTGGTAGAATCTGGTTTTATGAAAACTTATGGTGTTTGATATTAACATCTACAAAGTCACAGAACAACTTATTCACTGTGGGGTGCAACATAGAGGTATAAAGAAGAAACTGGCAGTTACAATGGTGTATGGTTTCAACGATGCAGCACTAAGAAGAAAATTATGGGAGGACATTAAGGAAATTCATGAACATATGTCAGAACCTTGGGCAGTCATGGGGGATTTTAATTGTTTTGAATAGAGATGAAAGGATTGGGAACCCAGTTACATTGTCAGAAATAAGAGAGTTCAAGCAGTGTATTGATGAATGTACTCTTCAGGATATGAAATCCTCAGGGGCTTTCTTTACATAGAATAACAAGCAGGGTGGATCTGATAGAGTATATAGTAGAATTGGTAGGATGTTGGTGAATAATGAATGAATATTGGCTCTTCCAGATTTAGAGGTCTATTATAGAAATGAAGGGACTTTGATCACTGCCTAGCTATAATAAGATGGGCTGGAGCAAAATAAGCAATATATGTTCAGGTATTTCAATATGTGGAGTTTGGCACCAGAATATAAGGAGAAGGTTAAACAGGGATGGAAGACAACTAAAAATGGGACCAAAATGTATGAACTGGTAGGGAAATTGAATATCTTAAAAAGTAAACTAAGGCAGCTAAATAAAGAGAAATTCAGTTAAATAGAGAAGCAGACAAATCAAGTACAAGAAGAGTTAATGCTATGCCAGCAAATATTGCAGCAGAGACCTTTGAACTAGGAATTGCCAGAGGAAGAAGCAAGATTAATAAGGCAGTGTAAGAGATTGAAGGAAGCTAGGAATCAGTATCTAAGTCAAAAAAGTAAAGTGCAGTGGTTGGAAAAAGGGAACCTAAATACCAAATACTTTCACAGTATGATGAAGGCTAGAAAGAATATAAATAGAGTTTTCTCTATAACTGATTCAGAAGGAGTGCATAGAACAGAGATAGAAGAAATTGCTAAAGCTTTCATTGAATTTTACTACATTACTGGGTACAAGCAATAAGAAAAGGGAGCATGTAAATAGTGGACTG